GATTCTCTGTCTGCTCATGCTCTCTCTCTCTTTCTCAAAAATAAATAAAAACATTTAAAAATTAAAAAAAAATTAAGTCCAGTGGGGGAGGCAGGCTCAATGAATCACTGACCTTAATACAGAGTTCTGCATATTGGGCTAGAAACAGAACAAGGATGCTACAGGAAAATGAAGGAGGAACGTCTATAATAGCCATGAAGTTGGGATGGCTTTCCAGTGGGCAACTTGAGCCCTGAGCTAAGTATTTCAAAGTGAGTAGAACTTGTCTGGATCCATACTGCCCAATAAGGCAGCCACTTGCCACATCTTACTATTTAACTCACTCACACCAGCCACATTGCAAATACTCAATGGTCACAAGTGTCTGGAGGCTGCCACGTTGGACAGATCAGATAGAGAACTTCTCCATCATCATCACCACAGAAAGTGCTATTGGACAGCTCTGATCTAGAAAAAAGGCGGGGGAGAGGCATTCCAGGCAGAAGGAACCGAATGGGAAAAGTCAGAGTTCTGAGACAACATGACTCATTCTGGGGGAAGATGGGCGTTGCAGCTGAACAGACAACAGTCAGATCACAAAATGTCATTAGTGCCAAGCCGAGGAGTTTAAACTCTAGCCTGAAAGCTAATGGGAGCCTCTGGAGGCTTTTGAACAGAACCTGATGTCATGAGCCTTGCATATTAATAAGTTCTCTTTGGCAGTCAGTGGGCTGGATTAGAGGGGCCAGCCCAGAGGTGGGGAGACTGGCTCCGAAACTATTGCAGTTGCCTGGGAGAGAGAAGCAAGAGAGGACTGAAATGAGGTGGTGACTGTGGCACAGATGTGGACAGAGGGCAGAGTGAAGCGATATGGAGGACCCACTGGCTGATTGCATCTGCCCCCTACAAAGTGCTTTGTAAATAGCTGTTGATTTAACAAGTCAATTAGAGCTGAGCCCAGATTGTCCAGCAAAGTGTGTATCCCCTCGCATCCTAGGTGATACTATTGCACAAACAAACAGGTACAAGAGCATTTCTTTTCAGCTGAAGGAGGAAGGGGCAACAGGGAGAGAGGCAAACGAGGGATGGTGGGGAAGCTGGCTTCCTTTGTCCTGCGTGATGGAGAGAGGGCTCTGGTGAGAAGGGAATGAAATGTGAGGTTCCCTTGACCTAGGAAGTGCCTCTCTGGGGGCTAGGGACAAGAGGTACCCAGAACGAGGTATAGGCCATTCTCCACCCTTCCTCTTCCACGACCTCCTTGCCACGTGGACTACAGGGCAGATCTGGTTTCCTGAAAGATTGGGCCGTTTCATCAGCAGGCATATGCACAGCAGGTCGGCAGCATCAGGGAAGATGCTGGAGATGCAGAAGTTGTTCAGGGACAATGGAACATGGCCAGAGTAGGAGACATTAGCTGACTGGTGCTTAAACACCAAAGAGAGACCAGCCTCCCTCTCTTGGACTCTGAGAAGTAACTGGAGATCTTGAGGGCAGGTGGCTAAAACCTACTGTAACTTGGGCATCAATGTTAATATCACTTTGTTTGCACCTACAGGTCCATAAGGCCCAGGACCTTTGGGTTATAGAATGAATGATAGGTGACATGAGGCAGGTTTTGCTTGCTCATTCATTAAACAAATACTCGTTGAGCCTTCTCTGTGCCAGGCATAGTGCTACATGCTGGGCCTATAGTGATTAACAAAACAGAGATGGTCCCTGGCCCCAGTGAGCTTATAGTCTAATATCCAACAGACTGGTATATGTGCTATTCAAGAAAAGCACCAGGAGTCTCAAGATAATCCAGTAGGAAGGGTTCTTTCAGATAGAGGTCAAGAAAGGACAATTTGAGAAAGTGACATTTAAACTGAAGAGGGAGCAAGAGGAATGAAGGTTTTGGGGACCCATCTTTGGGCATCTGGGGACGGAGAGAAGGCCAGTGGGTGGAGCATGGCAGCAAGAAGGGGAGGGGTGCAGAGGAGGCTGGAGAGGGAGGCAGTGCGAGACTTCACAGGGCCATTATCAGGACTTGGATTCAAATCCAAGTGTATTGACAGGGGAGTGACGTGATCACGCTTGTGTTTTACAAAGATTGCTCCGGCATCCATGTGAATGGACTGGGAAGAGAGAGCATGCAGGGAGAGATGTGTCAAGGCTTATTCAGTTGCCCAAGGGAGAGGTGATGGTGGCACCGATATGGTGTTGGAGACACGTGGAGGATCCTGAGAAGGATCGAGACAATATGTTTTACCTGTGACCTTGTTTTGGTCTACACAGCCTGAAGTGTTAACTTTATTTTTTATTTTATTAAAAGAATTTTTTTAATGTTTATTTTTGAGAGAGAGAGAGAGAGAGAAAGTGAGAGAGAGAGACAGCACGCAAGCAGGAGAGGGGCAGAGAGAGGGAGACATAGAATCGGAAGCAGGCTCCAGGCTCTGAGCTGTCAGCACAGAGCCCAACGCCAGGCTCGAACCCACGAACCATAAGATCATGACCTGAGCCGAAGTTGGGCGCTCAACCAACTGAGCCACCCAGGTGCCCCTGAAGTGCTAACTTTAGACAAGGCAAAAACAGCAAGTATTTGCCCATGCCGATCAGTCCCCACTGTGACCTGTTCTGCTCTGGGTGAGTGAGATCTAACCATGCCCCTGTCACATGGGCCATCCCCCTCCCTCTGAGCAGGTCCACACCTGATGCCAGTCCATTTTATGTTCAAAGATTTCCTGAGAAGGAGGTTTCACAACCTCTGTAACCTCTGCTTACCTGTTTGTATTTCATCTGAATGCCTCTCACCCTAAAGTTGCTTGATTCTTGAGAGGAAGACGCTGACAAAAGTCACCTGGGCTGTCAAATATGAATGACATCACAGTGACAGCTCTGAATCCTGTCTCTGCTCAACGTGACTTATTTGTGAGCAACACAGAAAAGTGCCTGAATATCCCGAGAAAAGGGATCTAATTAGATTAGTGTAGCTTTTCAGTTCACTGTCAAGGTCTTTGCTCTTGCTACTTAAAGTGTGCTCCGTGGAGTAACATCACTTCAGAGCTTGGTAGAAACACAGGATGGAATGAGAATCCACCCTTTTCCACACTCCCCGGGCAACTCACAGGCACATTACTTTTGAGAAGCACTGTCTTGGATCACCCTCAGGCCATCTGAAAGTGGGTGGGCAGTGGCAGGTACCAGGTATTTGACATGCAGTGAGCCTCGGCAAGGCTTTCGGAAAATCGAACTGGTTCAGCAAGAACTAGGCTTTCTCTGGAAGTTCCCTGGCCCCAGGTCACGCAGAGCATTTCAGCCGAAGTCAGAGAGACAAGGTGTTGTTTCCCTGATTGTGTTGTGGCTGGAAGGAGTGCTGAGTGGATGGGAAAAGCTGTGAGGAAGAGGGCAGCTTCTCGGGTGCTTATCCAGGCAGCACCAGAGGCCCATGGACATTGTTTCCCAGTCCCCACAAGTGTGCGCAGCTTGGTCCTTGTCCTCTTAGCCAGGTCCCTAGCTCTCTGTGGGTGCTTTACGATGACGCTTGCTTCCTTCTGAATCAAGCCACGTGATGTGCAGGGGCAAGGATGTTTGAGCACCTCGATTAAAGACTCGGGCCAGGGTGAAGCGGAACATCTGGTTCCAGGGGTTCCGGAAGCCCTGCCTGCACTGCGTGGTCAGCCTCTCCGGGCCAGTGACCCCTGCCCCCCGCTGGAGAGGTGTGTGACACGGACACGGGGAAAACAAGAGCGCCGGTCACAGCACTGCTTTCTTGAGAAGCGTTTCAGGCACAAAATCCAGGCCAGAACCAAATCAGCTCCCTCTCTCTTCACTGGGGCTGGTCCTCCCACATAATCAGACAAATGGATGAGGTTTGTGGGCTGTTTAAAGCATATGGTTTGTAAATACTGTAAAATCAAACATCACTTTTGGCTTTTATTTACTGTAACATGTTCACATTACCTAGCACCGAAATAGCTTTGAGGTCTTCTCTGCCTTGCTTTTCTTTCTCCCTGTTCGTTCTTCTCTGTTCCTGTGGCGTCTTGGGCCCTGCCTTCCACGGCGCTCGTGGCTCTGCTGTAATTCCTCTTTCCCCACCTGCTCCATCCCCCCCTTCCCTTGTCGCTGGCTGACTGGTACTCCGCAGTCTTCCTCGCCTGTCCCACTTACCATCTTGCACCCTTTGCCTCCCTTTGTGTCTCTCACGATGCTCCTTGATCTTTTGAAACATCTCCGCTACCTGTCCCTTTCTGTGCTTTGATTTCTAAAGGCTGCGAGCCAGATGCTCCTTACTGTCACTTGACTCCCCCTGCCTCTCTGTCTATTTTCTCTTCCTTCCCAAGACTCGCCACGGAGTGCCTTCTTTTTCCCTTTTTTTTTTTTCTAAAGGCAACACAGGGATCACAGAATCATAGAATTCAGAGTCAAAGGGACACAGCCTACATTACCCTGACAGTTGCTTCTAAGCCAGAAACTCTTTCTTCTCCTCCTTTCACTCTCAATAATGGCTGCCCCCATCACTCCTTAGAGCAAGAAGGGCTGGGGAAGAAGACAAAGGAGCAGGCACACCTCACCCCCCCCATCATTCTCCCTCACCAACATGTGCACCCCACCCTTTCACTTGGGCCTCAATCATACACACACACACCCTCAGGGCTCTGGGTGCAGATGGGTTTGCTCCCAGCCTCCACCAAAACACTTGTTTCCTTCTCCAGTGTCCATCCTCCCCAGGCATGCGGGTCTGTGCTCCACACCCCCAGCTGAGCCCAAAGAAACACAATTCTATTTTGAGGTGGCAGGAGAGAGGGTGGCAGTAGGGTCCCTCTTCCCAGGTGCAGCTCTTGGGTGGAGGTGGGGGTGGGGGATGCCAGTGATGACCCTACAGCCAGATCCAACAGAAAGCTCCTGTCAAGGCCGGCTCCACCCCCCCCCCCATCAACATTGCTAGTCAATGCTTTCGTGGAGTGGGCCCCCCTCTCTGCCACTGGGCAAAGCGTCCTCAAGACCCAGGAAAACGAATAAGAGACAGGAAGAGACACCCTGGGGGCCATGAAACAAAGGCTTTAACATTCCGCATTCTCAGCCAGGGCTTCTCCGAGCACTTTACAGAATGTCAGATGCTGCTTTCTTGGCGTCCGGGAAAACATAGGGGACCCCCAAGTAGGCCTCTGCGGATTTGTGCCAATCCCTCCACGTGCCGGCGCTGGGCTCCTCGCGGTGTCTGTGTCTCCGCGGCCGAAGGGAACTGGCGCTCCCGCGAGGGAGGAGGCCAAGGTCTCCGCCGCCGAACTCGGAGCTGGAGGCCAGCCTCGCCCAGGCCTCCAGGCACCCGCTGCTCCAGTCCCGTGTGGCTGCTCCTCTGGTCTCAACCCAGCAGTGCCCACCCTTGCGGAAGACGAGGGGCGCTGCCCGCAAAACCTCAAGGGGTGCGGGGCTCGGAGGTAAGCTGCCCCGTGCCCCCCGGGGCCGGCTGCACCTGTTGTGCGTCCAACGCCCCTCTGCTCCGTGAAAATTCCCAGGACCAGGAGGAAGCGGGGCCGTCTTAACCACAGGAAGAATTTCGGGGTCATGTCCCTACCTCCCCCCCCACACCCCAACTTTCCCCTTGCCTTCCACACGGCCGAGGGGAGAGCAGAAATAGAAGTATGAGTATAATTCTCCACCTGACTTCCTTTCATACCGACTAATGAACCAACTGAATCGCCAATAAATTACTGTTACCAAACGCATGTACACACGGGCACGTGCGCGTGCGGACACGCACATACACGTACGGAGGTGTAGTTCCGGCTTTTCTTCCCTGCCCCCCTCTCCTGCAGGCCGCTCCAGACCAAGGTCCCCGGGCCCCGCCGAAGGGCCTCATCGCATCATGGGGGCCACGTAGTTGGCGGGGAAGAGGCCTAGCTTGTTGTGCAGGCGGCCGGTCCACCAGGCCGGGTTCGAGCTGTCCAGGACCTCCACCACCTCTCCGCAGCGGAAGCCCAGCTCGTCATCCTCCAGGGCCTCGAAGTCGTACAGCGCCCGGGCCCACCGCACTCGCTGTGGGGGGAAGCACAGAGGGGTCCCGCTGAGCCAGGGCGGCCGGGCCTGGTCCCAGGAAGGGGGGTCTGTGCCGAGACAGCGTCCTTCCCCGAAGGCTGCCTCGCGGCTCCCGGGGGACGTCCCAAGCGCGGCAGCGTTCTCCGGACGCCGAGACCCCGGACTTCCCCCCACGGAGACGTTACTTTCCGAGGCCCCGAGAGCATCCTCGACAACTACTCTCCCTGCTTCATAGGTGGTCTTTTTCTTCCCTTCGGGGGACAGAAAGGATGGCAGCGTGCCCAAACGGACAGCCCGCGGTGCTAGCGCAACCGACGCAAGCGGATGGCAATCAAAAAGGCGACAGGTCGGGGCGCCTGGGTGCCTTAGTCGGTTAAGCGTCCGACTTTCGCTTAGGTCATGATCTCGTGGTTCGTGGGTTCGAGCCCCGTGTCGGGCTCTGTGCTGACTGCCAGCTCGGAGCCTGGAGCCTATTTCAGAGTCTATGTCTCCCTCTCTCTCTGACCCTCCCCTGCTCACGCTCTCTCTCTCTCTCTCTCCTAGAAATAAATAACACATAAAAAAAAAAAAAGGCGACAGGTCTCCCTCCGCTAGAGCCGGAGCCAGGACACGGCAAGGCCCTGCGGCCGGACAGAACACCAGGCCAGGACCGCCTCTGCCCGGGAACTCCCGCCCGCCCTCCCTTCCTGGGTTCCCACTGCCTCCATCCTGAGCTCCCAGCGGGGTGCCTCTCTCTCCCGGAGGACCGACCGGTTCCCGAGGTGCCCCTCTTGCCGCCTTCACGGAGCCCAGCGAGGGCAGGTTCACGTACCCCGGCCGCTTGGAGCTGCACCGGGTCTGTGTGTCTCCGGTGCATGAGGGCGGCGTTCATTTCGCTGGCCACGCCCACGCCACAGTGCCCGTCGTTTATGTCAAGGCTGCCTCCCCGGCGATCCTACAAACACAGGGAAGGGGGGACCCGGTCACCGCACCACGTCCCTCTCCGGGCTGCCCAGCGTCTCGCTCGGGTGCCATGGACACAGCCAGCGTTCCGATAATACTTGCTGCAGATGACAATAAGCCCCAGCTGATGGGGCAAGCGGGAAGGATGGCAAAGGGGCCTTCCGCTGTGAAGACCATGCCAGATCTCATTCATTCAGTCAAAGAGTATTTATCAGGCACCTGCCCGCCTGTCTAGTGCTGTCCTGATCACTGGGGATTTGTAGCTGGAAAGAAAAGGTTCTTGTCTTCATGGAGGGTCAGTTTAGAGGGGGAACCATACACATTTAAGTGATAACATGACCCAAGAGAATGTCTAAGTCTGCCAGGGGAATCAGGGAAGCCTTCCTAGAGGAGGTGATACGTCGAACTCCAGCTTCGAGGAGAAGAAAGATCAGCCAGGAAAGGGCATTTTAGGCCAAGGAAACATCATACCAAAAAGCCCCCCCGAGGTATGGGAGAAAACACAATAGACCATTCCGGTAACTAAAGATAGTGCAGTGTTGCTGGAATGCGTGTTTGCTCTGGGAATGGGGAGGGGGTGAGGGTGGGGAGAGGCTTAGGGAGAGGCTCTGGAACTGAGGCTGAGGAAACAGCTCACAAAGGGCTTTGTGTGCCCTCCTGAGGACTCTAGGGATGTGTTATCTGGCTGTATTGTCCGCCTCGGTAAGTGGCGCCAAATCCCATTTGGAACAAGGCAGGGGATAAATAAATAAATAAATAAATAAATAAATAAATAAATAAATAAGAGGGGCTCCATTGCGGGTGTTAAACTGTTTTTCTTGTGGGTCTCCACAGCCAGATGGGTTAAGGGGCTGACAGGAAAATGGAGCAACGGTTTGCCGACTCCTCGGGGTAGGAGTGTGTGTGTGTGTGTGTGTGTGTGTGTGTTCCCGCAGGGAGCCAACGAATTCGCAGAGACTTCTTTGCCAAGAGCAGTTCCTATACCACATTATCATACTGCTGCCATCTGGGAGGTCCCGGATCCTCTTTACGAACTGCGTGAGCCCTGACGGGGCTGGGCCTCGCTCGGCCCTCCGCGGCCCACCCTCCCGGGACCACCGCAGACCCCCAAGCCCGGACGGCGCTCTCTGGCGCTGTGCGGAATTTTCACGCACTAAGCGGCCCCGGGGACAGGGCGGCCCGAGCCTTCCCCTTCCCTACCTCACGGTGCCCACGGCGTTCTTTTGAGGTACCTGATAGAAGTGGGGGTGCTGTAGATGGCGCTGCTGCTGGGGCGGTGCAGGGGGGTACTGCGAGGGCGGGGTCGCTGGATGATCCGACAGCTTCCGGTTCATCGAGGGCCGGATTTCTTCCCCCACAGCCCCGCTGAGGTGCGGGCCTCCCTGGGGCCTCCGGTCCAGGCTGTTCCCCCGGTGACCCTGGGAGAGCATGAAGGTGACGCGGTTGCATCCTCCTCCCCGAACTCCCGGCCCCACCCCAGGCTTCTGGCAGCTGCTTCCAGACTTTGCTGGAGAGACAGATCCGAGAAACAGGGGGTGGCGTGCGGGCAGCCTAAGGACAACCGTGGCGACGCGGGGGCCCTCGCAGTTTCAAAAGCGGCCTCCACAGTCTCAGATTCTCCCACGTTGGGGATTTCAGGCCTTTGGTTCCCTTGCCACGTGCTACCCAGCCGGTGCCTTCCTAAAGGCTTGTTTTCCTCTGTGTAAATATTCTATATATTCTATTTCACGGACGCGGTGCCACCGCTGCTTATTGCATGTTGCCACGCCGCGGGACAGCCTGCTCTCCCCATAAGCTCTGCTATTGACGTTGCGTGATTTTGAACTGTCACGTGTAGCCTGGTCGTAGGGACCCGAAGAGCAGCCCTCTTGCAGCACCATGGAAACCAGGCCCGCCGCTGGGGCTGCTGGGAAGGAGCAAGGCTGTCTGCTTAGGGCCGCCATAGCCTTGCGACTGGGAGGTCCTTTCTTGTTATTTTCATTTAGCAATTACATAGGGCCCTCGGCTTCCTGTAGGCAAGACACTATTCTAAGCGCTTTATTTATTTATTTCAATTTTTAAAAAGCTTTATTTATTTGTTTGGAGAGAAAGAGTGCCCACGAGCGAGCAGAGGGAGGGGCGGAGAGGGAGGGAGAGAAAGAATCCCAGGCAGGCCCAGGACGCTGGCCTCATGACCTGAGCTGAAATTATGAGTCGGATGCTCAACCGACTGAGCCTCCCTGGCGCTGTTCTAAGTGCCTTACAGATATGGACTCGCTTAATCCAGTTGAATGCACTTTTATGCTAACTCTTTTAGCTCTGCATGCACATCCTAGTAAATTAATACCTCTGTCTGTTTCTTGATTAAAATAATTCACAAGGTCTTAGTTAACCTTTGTTTTTCTTTCTGAACTTTTATGGGCACTTGCTGGGAACACCTTTTTTTCCCTAGAGCTGTCACGTCTCAAGCTTACAGTTAACCAATTACCTGAAACGGTTTTCTCAGCTTCCCTGGGGCACGTGTTGCTTTGAAAGTCTCATTGCCTTTTCAGGTAACTTGTTTTCTGGGATTTCAACGGTTTCAACTATTCTAGAGAATGCTTCTTTCTGTAATACCCATCTCTTTCTTATAACCGTGTCGTTTCCTTTGAAAGATATTTTGTAGTGTGTGTGTGTGTGTGTGTGTGTGTGTGTGTGTGTGAATTTACCTACAGGAGGCAACTTAACGTTTCCCTGGCACTTGCACTATTGTCCGGATCCTATGGCAAGTGCTATCACTATATTATCTCATTTAATCCTCATGACAGCCCAGTGAGGGACGTGTTCTTTTCTCTCCATTCTACAGATGAGAAATCTGATACTCAGAAAGGTTTTTTAACTTGGCTAGGTAACAAGGATAGTTAATGATAAAATCAGGATTTAAAGCTAGATTTGTCTGATGCATTTTCTATTAAACTAATACTCTATGGGCGCCTGGGTGGCTCCGTTGGTTAAGCATCCAACTCTTGATCTCAGCTCAAGTCATGATCACACAGTTTGTGATCCTGTGCTGACAGCACTAGGCTCTGCGCTGACAGCACCGAGCCTGCTTGGGATTCTCTCTCTCCCTCTCTCTCTGCCCCTACCCTGCTCTCTCTCTCTCAAAATAAATAAATACAGCTTAAAAAATAAGTTATTAAAAATATTTTATATTCCATAACGTTCCAAGAGCAAGGATTCCAGGTCCAGTTTTTTTTTTTTTTTTTCCTCCAACACCCCCACCCTCCTTTCTGGGACAAAGCTCTACCCACCGCCTTAGTCCTAGACTCCAAGCTGTCCTCCAGCATCCCTGTGTGTGGCCTCCTGGCCTTCATCTTTGAGCAACTCCTAAGCTAGGCTGAAAGCTGTGATGTAGCAATATTTATAATAACAAAATAAAGCATTTACAGTTAAGAGCTGATGTTCGCTAAGTGTTTGTAGCATTGTTCGGAGCGATGTAAGGAAGGGGATACATTATCTTCTCCAACCTTTACAACCCTTCTGTGAGCTAAGTGTCAGCATCATTCTGGTTTTATGGATCAGGACACTGAGGATTGGACAACTTTCCTAAGTCACATGGCTAGGAAGTGTTAAGATGGGATTTAACTGAGATCTGACCTTGGAATTATTCTGTCTTCCAGAATACTCAGAGGCCATGCCCATCAAATGCACTGTCTTGACAGGTCACATAGAACTCACGCTGCCTAAAATCTCCAGACTTGGGCTGATCGGGGCCCGAGGTGTACCTGATCCTCTCGGGTTCTATCCCTCAGAAAGATCTGCTTCTGTTTGGAGATGGAGGTCGTCCTGTAGTACTCCACCAGCTTATTTAGAGATGGAAACTTCTCTGTCCACAGGAAGTAATTACCCTTGTTGTCTCTCATGACCTTGAAGTGCTGAACATCGTCCTCATGCCTAGATCAAGGAGAAGCCACACTGTACATTACATCACGACTATGTCCCCACCCCCCAAGGCTGACTACAGCCAGGGTGTTGGAGTTCTGGTTGGGCAGGAAAGGGAAACGCAAGTGCCTGCCCATCCAGCGGCAGGTGGGGCTGGCCCAGGCAAGTTCTAAGGGGGGATTTGTGGGAGGGACCGCCCAGGACACAGGCTGTATTAGAAGGGATTTTTACATCAGCAGGAGATAATCTATCTTCAGACACCGGAGCCGACCTTTCACGAGAAAAAAAAGTTTCAGGGGCGCCTGGGTGGCTCAGTGGTTAAGCTGGTTAAGTGTCTGACTCAGGCCATGATCTCACGGTTTGTGGGTTTGAGCCCCACATTGGGATCTCTGCTGTCAGCACAGAGCCTGGAGCCTGCTTTGGATCCTCTCCTTCACCCTTGCCCCCTGCCCTTCCCCAGCCTGTGCTCGCTGTCTCTCTCTCTCTCTCAAAAATAAATAAACATTAAAAAAAATTTCTTTAAATAAACAAGGAAAGAAAAAAATGTGCCAAGTGCTTTAATGACTACAAGGTTAAGGGCTCTTTACAATGTTTGTTTGAAACATGGCAATCCCTGAGTCCTGTACTAAGCTAAGAGCTCTGACAAGACTCGGAGGGAGGAGTTTTTGACCCCTGTTACCTTTCCATTATCAGAAATACTTTGGACCAGGTCGCCCATAAACTAGCTCTGGACAGTAAGAGACCACCTTGAGAAATTGGTCACAATCGGTTCTCTATAGATCTCCTGGTCTTGGTTTATGTGTTGCATAAATAAGGCTACAAAAGATTTTGAACTTTTAGGGGAGAAAAGTTATATAGCCATGCAGTGTTTTCATTGGGAAGGACCTGTGAGATTGTTTAGCCTTGTGTCCATGTTACAGATGAGGGGGGACACTGAGGCCCAGAGAGATGGCGGGGCTCAGCCAAGGCCACCGTGAGGGAGTGGCAGAGCCGAGGCAAGAACCTCGCTCTCTGATTGATTCCAGCCTAGTGAATCGGGCCTGTCTCACCATGCACACATGCTTACTTCTTTTAGATAGGCACTTTTTGGCACCAGCTGGAATCACAGTGATGGGAAATATTTGCACCAGGATTGGAGAAATTGGATTTTATTCATCTGGAAAGGGGGAGCTTGGCCTTTGCTAAAAGCTCAGTTAGTCATAGTTCAATTTCTCAGTCTTTCTCCATCACCAAGGCCTTCTCCTTTGGGTGTCAAGTTTATTTGTCAAGCAGATATACATTTATGTCTAAAAATATACTAGTGATACGAATTACCTGATCCAACAGAAAGGTCACGAATTTAAAGACAGTCGGAGAGTAAAGATACCTCTAAAGGTTAGTTCAGGTTTCTTAAAGATGGAATCCGTGGTCCGTGTTCAGAGGGGACAGGAATTTTGACTGGTCTTCAGTCTCATCGTACGTGCTGGGCTCTGCTCATAGCCAGGTGAACCCATGCAGTGACCTCTGCTGGACTACCCTGGGGTGGGAACTGACTTTGCAATCACTGCATGGCCTTCCCCTGGGAGGTGGCCCCTAACAGATGCTTTCTTCACTCTAATACCACATGGCTTAATTCCTAGTCATTACTCCTCACATCTGTGTGTGGAGGAGGAAATATTCTTGTGATATAATTATTCATCCACCACCTCTTAGGCAAAGAAACAGAGAGAGAAGCATTAACCCTTTCTCTCTCATGAGCTGAGAGGATTGGATGTCAGGCCGCTGGTCACGTGCGCCCATGGAGAGGGAGTGGCTGCACCAATGTGCCAAGTTCCAAGAGGGGCAGAGAAAAGGGTGTAACTCAGGGCTCCGGACTCCAAAGCCTAAAGTGTTTTCAGACCCTTAACAAATGCTAAGTGATAGAACTACAATTAGCTCTTAACTATCTTTGCATGACAGAAAGCAGATGTATGAATAAATAAAAATGATTTGCTTTGGAATATATTATGCTACATTTCTGCAGAAGATGTAATCATGATTATGGTGATATTCACAAGGAGCTGCAATGGTGATATTCACAAGGAGCTGCAATGGCAGAAGTCAAGGCTGACCTTTTTGGAGAATTCACCTTAATGGAGGAAATATAAGCCTTAATTTCTAGCTGAAAAGCTAGAGTCCACTTCATGCAAACCAAAGGCACCAAGAGATGCCCTTCAAGGTAACCATTCACCTGGTCCAGTCTGTAATCAAGGTTCAGATTTAAACCTTAAGAAAGAGGTCTGATTGTAGGATTTATCAATAGAGCAAAATTGCATTAAGACCTGACAAATTTAGAATTTGTGATACATCAGTGTAGGCCTGAGCTAAAATTTACTACTGCCTAAGCTGTGAAAAAAAAAAAAAAAAACAACCCAACCCAAAACGTTTCAGTTAGGGAAAATTAAGAGTTTAAACAAGATTGCAAGGGTAAAGCTAATGAGACCAATCTATTTTCGAGCACTTTGGAGGCATACGTGCATATAAATGGTTGACCCATTATTTGTAAGTCCTTCCTACCTATTCCTTAAAATATCCATTCTTTCTAAATGGTAAAGTGGCCTGTGTTCCTTACCCGAGGTTGGATTCATGCACTTAAAGCACTAACGCTGTGTGCCTTTCAAAGTGTATTGAAGAATCTGGACCAACATTTCCTGTCAATGAACTTGACAGCCAGTCCCACCACACACATCTCCTTGTGTGGAAATCAGCATTCATTTGTGCACTTTCACATGCAGCCACCACGCCTGATATGGGACTTGCGATTCCAGACAGGCTGACCACATGCCGTGTGCTCAGACTTCGGGTTTCTGAGTGTGGAGCTGTGTCATGTTTATGCCTGGACTGACTCACTTCCTCCCAGGCACTGCACATGAGCAAAATTTTGCTGCTACGGTCCCTCACCCCAGGTCTCCTCGGCTCCCATCTGCTGCGGTCCGTTTGCTGCTTTACAGTGTGTTGTGGTAGCCTTTCTTTTTGTGCAACCACGTACAACTACCTGTGTCTCCTACAGCAATGGCTTGGGATTTTAATTGTCCTCGGGGCCTTCTTCAGACGTATATCAGTAGTTAGAGAAAAGGTTCAGATTCAAACCTCAAGACAGATGTGGACAACTGGGAATTCTCCCTTCCTTCTGCCCCACTTCCTTGCACAAATACTCATCAAACACCTACTGGGTACAAGGCACTGTTAAAGGCACAAAGATGAAATAGAGTAAAACCCTGTCCTTCTAGAAGCACTTAGGCTGCAAGGGGAAGCAGACAGACATATACATAATTTGGCCACAAACCAGCATATTGAAGAGTTATATATCTGTGTCACGGGAAGGAAATGAATGGCAGCCCAGCTGATAAGATGCCTGGGCCCCTTGGCCACCATACTCCTGAGCAATAAGTCACGTTCAAGGGTTCACCTCACGCACGGCCTTAGCAGTCTGGGTTGGGAGTGGCCAGTACCTGACGGAGATGGAGAAGTCCCCTGGGGAGCTCTGGCTGGCCCGGATGATGAAGAAACCAACCTCCTTGCCCATCAGTAAGTTCTCTGCCTGGTGTCGCGAGAGGCCTTCGTGAAACCATCTATTAGATGAGATAAAACCAGAGGAGCGTGGTGAGGTGCCAGAATACTGGTGGGGAAGGGGAGAAGAGATGACCCAAGGGGACAGAGGCTGGGGACTCTGGCCAGTGGAGAGCAGAAAGAGGCCAAAGGGGGGCCGGGGCCTCTGAAACCAAACACATGCTCTAGGCGGTTTTCAGGCGAGGCAAGGGAGTGTCCCCCTGACGCACTCCCTTTGTTCCTTCCCTCTCTCGCGCTGGGAAAACCTGAATCATGGAAATGTGCCACTGCACCAAAATGGGACAGTGTGGGAGTGACTCACTGCGGGAAGCGGCCGCCTGCTGGCAGCTATGTGAGAGAGCTGCAGGGACAGATGATGAGCCAGGAAGACAGAAGCCCCTTCAGACTCTGGGGGGTGGCGGTGGGGGGCACGGAGCTGGGAAGCTGGGAAGCTGTGGGCTTGAGTCCAGGCTCAGAGCCCAGGGGCCCCTGTGATCCGGGTGGCGTGGAGCAAGGCTAGCAGCAGCCAGAGAGCAGTGTCTACACAGCCAGCTCCGGGGCCCACCTCCAAATCCAGGAAAACAATCTTTACAGGGGAAAAGAAGAAACAGGGGAGAAACTCCTCTTTCAGGGGAACAGTCAGGGTGGCAGGCAGCCTCTGGACGTGTCGCAGCAGGTGGCAGAGCACGTGTGAAGAAGGCCAGGAGCTGCCACGGAGGCAAGGCAAGCAGTGGCTGCAGCCTCAGGGCAGGAGGCCAGAAACCTCTCAACCACAGAAGAGCAAAATGAGTGTTTGCAATCCCTCAGAGGCCCTGAGTGGGACGGGTCCCGTTTCCTCAAGGTGGTTGCTCTATGGCTGCCCCTGGGGGCTGGTATGTGCGTCCCCGTAAGGTGAATGGCCAACAGGCTGTGGATTCCTTTGTGAGCGATTCCCTATGCTCTCTGGAATTTAGGAAACTGGACTCCTTATTCCAGACCTGGTACTGCAGGGGAAGGTTCTTTGGGCTCTGGGGGGCTGGAAGCAGAGGGTTTCTGGCGGTCATCTGCCTAGACATCCTGCCAGAGTATCAGCCATGCTCTGCTACGGGGCTGAACGAGGGACCGCACACCACAGCTTTGACCTTGTGCAGGACATGTAATGAGGCCAGGCAAAGGGGCCGGGCCACGCTCCACATAGCCATCCCTCAAAGGAAATATTTTGGAAGAGGCAGCCAACAGTTAGGAGATTGTTTAGGAAGTACACACTATGGGGCTCCTGGGTCAGTTAAGCATCCGACTTCGGCTCAGGTCATAATCTCGCGGTTTGTGGGTTCAAGCCCCGCTTGGGGCTCTGTGCTGACAGCTAGCTCAGAGCCTGGAGCCTGCTTCCGATTCTGTGCCTCCCTGTCTCTCTGACCCTCTCCAGCTCACGTTGTCTGTCTCTCTCTCTCAAAAAAAAAATAGAATATTAAAAAAAATTATTAAAAGAAAGTCATTAGTGAAAGAGGAGAAATAATGACCCACAGTTCATGAATTTGAGCCCTGTTTTGGGCTCTGTGCTGACAGCTCACAGCTTGGAGCCTGCTTCCAATTCTGTGTCTCCCTCTCTCTCTGACCCTCCCCTGCTCATGCTGTCTCTCTCTCAGAAATAAATAAAACATTAAAAAATTAAAAAAAATAAAATAAACGCTAATCCTCTGATTGGAGTTTGACACGTGACTTCAAGACTTGCAAAAACGTCCACATGTTAAGCGAGTGGGTCGGGTTATGTTATGACGCATCGTTCCAGAGCTATTCATTTGCTCATTCAACAGTTTTTATCAAATATCTACTAGGTGCTGACCTTCTTCTGGGCACTCAGGATACAGTCTTGAGCAAGGTGAACAAGAACGTTTGCTGCCATGGAGTTTATATTCTATCATACTAGACAATGGGACCCGCCAGCTGACCCGGTCATTCACTGTGACCTTGGCAAAAAGGTTTCCATGGGGGGAGAGAAGTTAGAGATGAGAGCGCACACAATTCTTTTGAAGAAGCTGGACGGGGACATGGGATCAAGAAGTTTTTGTTTTTGTTTTTGTTTTCTTTTTTGGTAAGATGGGAGCAAGTGCAGCAGCTTTGCAGACGGGGATGACCTAGCAGAGAGGCTAGAATTGATTTGAGAGAGAGTCGGGGTGGGGGGGGGGGTGTTTCTCCTAGAGGCACAGGCGATTCTTACCAAACAGCTGCAGGAAAAGCAGTGTCTGAGTAAGTTGCAGGAGGTGGGTGGATGCAGTGAGTCAGGCAGGGGGGTGGGGTGGGTAGAGGGGCTTTTCCGTTGGCTTCCGTCATCCCAGTGACCCTGGAAGGAAGGCCCTGAGCCTAGAGTGCGGTGGGGGAGGGGCTGGAGACAGGAGGAGCAGGAAAGCGGGAGGTGGTCATGGAGAGTGGTCATTCTGTCGGTTCGGTTCGGTTGTCCGGCCTGGTTCACAGGAGAGGTGTTACCGCACCACACTAGGGTTGCCAGTACGCTTCGGGTGTCTAACAGACCTCCACTCTTGGGGCTAGACCGTGACTCACACAAGACTAGATGTCTATCTAACCTTTGTGGTCAATTCTTGAGACGAACAAGTCCCCAGTTTCAATTTTTCTTTTTCCTTTTTAGGAAGGGAATTTCCTCTTTCCCTCCACTTGGATTGTTCTCACTGGTTTGAGCACGGTTTAGGGGAGGCAGGGAGCTGTGTGGGATCCCTAGTAAGGACTGAAGAGGTTGAGAGGGATGAAGTACTCTGAAGAGGCAGCTTTTGGGGGGGGTGTTGGGGGTGGTGGTGGGGGGGAGGAGGTGCAACAATGCCCCCCATGGAATTCGTGGAGACCCTGTGATTGCAGTTATAGATGATTTTAGGTTATAAACCTAAAATAGGCAATACATGCACATGGTATAAAATTCTAAAAGGAATGCAGTGGAATGCAAATCTCCCTCCCACCCTGGCCTTCAGCTTTGTGGCTCCCTCTCCAGAGGCAACCAGTTTTGACAGTATGTCGGGTATGGATGGATAATTTTAGTGACTGCTGAAAAAGTAAGGGGAGTGTGTGTGGGTAGGCCCGTGTCAGCAGGCTGGAAATACTTACTCAGGAAACTGGATGTCTATAAAATTCTTGGGCACGTATCCTTCTTGGCTCCCAAGCTCTGCCTTGAACCACTCTTCCTGGTTACTTAGGATCTACATGGAAGACAAGGAAGGACAAAGATTGTAAGGATGGCTCCAAGAAGCAGAGGAAAGGGGCTGCAGGGCAAAGGACACCCTTTTGGATTTAGAGGGAAGTAAGCCAAAGAGACCACGCACGGGCTCCAGTGGGAAAGCCACAGGTTTCTCTCTGGAGTTTTACTTCCTTGATCCCGCACTAGTTTCTGTCCACCAGTGCCACCCACACATGGGACCCCTCCATGGTGAGGCCTCCCACTCAGCACTCAGGGACTTCTCTGAAACCCTTTCTCTTCATATGTTGGAAACTCATGTGTCCCAGATCTCAGCATCCAAAGCTCCTCAATGGAGCAGGTGTCGAGAAGGCAAGAGTGGCCACTCCATGATTTTTCTTTCTTCTCTGCCCGGTAACCAAGAACCTTTTTGAAAATTTAATTTGTTCCTCTCTCTTTTTTTTTTTTTTAAACAAGCAAATTAAAACTTAAACATCCAGTGGGGCCAGCTTTGAAAACAGTAACTCTCTGTGTTCACACTCCATGTGTTTCACAAACAATTTGGACGTAACTCAAGATATTTGGGATGCCTTTTCTAAACTTGCTTTTAGAGCCAATTCACAAGCAAAACCAGAAGTTCTGTCTCATTACTGTATGGTCCTTCTTTGGCTGTGACCCCAAATGCTATCGCTTCCCTTGATTACTCATATGACTCACCACATGGCTCTATGTGGCTTCTGGTTATTTCAGAAAATAATAGTTTCACTATTAAAAGACAAATATTTGCCCCATCCCCCACTGAGAATGTTTCTAAAGTATGTGGCACGGACTTGAACAATAATGAATATGGCAGAGCAAAAAAAGTGAAAAGAAGCTTAATGATGTCATTGAGCCACTGAATTAGCCACGCAGGAGCCCTCCTGCTTCTGGACCTTGCATGAGAAGTAATGAATCTGCATTATTGTTTCAGCCGTATGTAAGTTTCTGTGTCTTGTAGCTGAAGATGCCTTAACTGATAGACATGCTACACTAAAGGGAAAAGCAAAAGGTGGGTAGGAAAGACTGCCCGGAGGAGAGGCCCTGGGGTTGCCCAGGCAACAGAAGGAGTTACCCAAAGTCTGATAGCACAGGAACTTCTGGGATGGGAGGAAGTGAGGTGCATTCTGGGAATGAAAGGCTTCCATCCGGTGGGAGTGTAGATTGTGGCCCCAGGGGCTGAGAGAGGGGAAACCAGAGGCATAGGCCCTTGTGGCCCATATTGGAAAGTCTGGACTTCCGTCTTGAAATATATGGAGAACCGCTAAAGGATTCTGGGTAGGGAAATAACACAGTAAGAATTACAGCCAAGAAAGCCCTGCATCAGAACATGAAGACGGGCTGGAGGGGGAAGGTCCAGGAAGGGAACGCAGCCATCCCGGCAAGAGGCAAATGGCTGTTTTAAAGGAACCTGGAAGCAAAATGCGCAGGATTTCGTGACTGTCCTTGGAACTAAGGGAGAAGGGGATTCTGGGAGGCTCCGGATTTTGCCCTTGGGAGACTGAGTGGGTGGTGGTGGCTTTGCTAATACATGAGGAGGAGCAGGTCTGAGGCACAACTCACTAGCTTCAGATTGCATGTGGGTGAATCCAAGTTGCCCCTGGGACCATCTGAGGAGAAAAGCTCAGTGAGCCATCGAGTTGTGTGTGTCTGGACTCAACAGAGAGGTTGGGGCTGGCGTTGGGGATTTCTGAGTCGTCCTAAGGCAGGTGGAGTTGAAGTGTCAACCCACGGGTTTCTCTGTCCCAGAGATGGGAAGAGATGAAGACACCTAAGTAACTGATATTTCAAATATCACCCCTGAGGTGGAAGAAAGGGGCCAGCACTCTGAGTTTGGAATTGAGAAGACTTGGTTTCCAGCTTGGCCCTGTCACCTGCTGTGTGACCTTCAGCAACTCAATTAGCCATCTCAAAAATGGGAACGGAGCTCTGGTACCTCGAAGTCCTTCAGAAAGTGTAACTGTTTTTTAAAATACAATTCTGCAGGGGTGCCTGGGTGGCTCAGTCGGTTAAGTGTCCGACTTCGGCTCAGGTCATGATCTCCTGGTTCGTGCGTTTGATTGAGTCCCACATTGAGCTCTGTGCTGACAGCTCAGAGCCTGGAGCCTGCTTCAGATCTGTGTCTCCCCCTCTCTCCCTCACTCGCACACGTGCGTGCTCTCTCTCTTTCTCTCTCTCAAAACTAACTAAACACTAAAAAAATTTTAAAACACAATCCTGCAAAATGTGGTATTCTTGGGAGGGAGGCCTCCATCTCTGAAGGATGGAGTAGGGTTTATAAATTCTTTAGAGTATTATATGTGTATGTTTTGAATTTAATCACTTGTTCTGAAGAAATAAAAGTGTGTCCCATATTTGAGTTCTAGAATTGCTGAGGACAAAAAACTTTATAGTTTCCAGCATCAAATATGACTGCTGGTATCACTAAGGACGCGTGGGTATGTGTATGCCGAGAGGGGGCGGGGTGGGGGGAGCAGAAAAATCTAGGTCAAAAAAAGCACTAGGAAACTCTGCGCCAGTACCTGGTATTCACACAAAGAACACAAGGATGTTTCACTCCATGCCTTCGCCCCCCAACGTATGGCTTTGGAGTTCCTGCCTCCTATGCCGTGGGAGTGCGATGTTTGGGCTGGGTAGCAAATGTCAAATATGAAGGTGAGCAGGGGTAAGGTAAAAGAGGCCATGTGGAAATTGGCTCATCACGGTAAGAACCATCTTGGTGCTTAGTTCTCTGACCTGAAACCAGCTGTAATTTTAGTAATTGTGGCTCACACCCATCTACCTCCTGTAGCAACTGAAAGATTATCCCACAATGGCGGCCATTTTCCCCCACCACCTGGTGCTCCGTCTGCCTGAGATCGTGTTCCCAGAGAGGTGAATTTGCAGGCTTTTTATGGTGTATAGAAGGCAAGGTTTTAAAAGAATCTCATTTTCTGCAAAGAAGAGTGTTTTTGGGGGGGGAGGTGGTTTCCTTCTGCCGTTGTTGGCCGGGGGCCCCATACTTCCTGTTCTTCTCATCTCTCTGTCTGTTCCTTTCCCCCTATCTCTTGTCCCCATCATGAACACTCAAGCAAGGGGTTCAGCCTGAACACATGAGGTTTTACACTTCACTTTACCGTATGTTAATTCTTACAATGTTGCCTACGAGAATAATTTTCTGGGTTACATGGCCTGAGAATAAGTTAGACGTGGGAAGAGGATAAAATGTACAGTTGGGAGAATTTTAAAATTGGATGGAATTATAGCTCTTAGAGGCATAGCAGAAATCCGAAGTATTGAAGTTAATTACATGGGATTAACTCTTCATGATTTCAGGTCACTGTTTTAGTAGGGAGAAACAGGGTTGAGTTAGACATATTCTAGAAGCGGGTAGAAATGGACTGGGTCGTTTCTTTGTTTTTGTTTTTAAACAGCGGCAAATTCGAGAGGGAAATGTTAAGTCTCGTGCTGCATGTAGCTGCAGGTCCAGGAGGTTGAGGCAGTAACATAAAATTATCTGACTCCTGACTTCAGATGTTTCCATCACAGGAGAAGCTGGATCAAGTCATTCGTCTGGAGTTCTCCATCCATCACCTTGTTCATCATCTTTTGATCAGCATCTAGTGAGCACCTGCTGTTTGCACTTAGGTGCTGGGAATACAGAGATGAATAAGCTGAGGCCTTTGTCCTGGGGAACTCAAGTCTGGAGGGAGCTGGTTGGTGGTACGCTAGTCAGACATTGTTTGTACCTTTTAGCAAAAAAGTCTGTTTAGTCTTTTAGCACCAAAAGTCTGGGATGAGAGAGCATCCCAGGAGTAAATTGCTGGGGCCGTCAAGAGCTGCCTTTGAAAGCAATGGCAAGATCTTGGGGGCTTTTTGCCCATCTCTGGAGTAGAGGGGCAGATGTTGCAGCCATACACAGAGACCCACGGGCAGGGCTACTAACCACATGACACAGACATGCTGTGGGGCTCAGCCAACAAGCTCCTCTCCACTTTTCTTTCCACGAGTACAGCTGCAAGGAACAGAATTTGAAAGGGAGAGGTTTGCCCTTCTGATGGAATTCTACATGAGCATGCAAAAATGCAATTTAATAATTCAAGCAATTTGTGCCGAGCACCTACTGGGGGCCGTGACTTGTGTGGGGTGCTGCAGGGAAGACACAGAGATGAACCCGGGGTGGTTCTGCTCTCCGGGAGCTCATAGATCAGTGGAGGAATCCACCACTCGTTCATTCATCAAATATTAAGGAGGGTCAACTTTCTGCTGCTTTGGACACTGGGGCAGACCTGGCCCCTGCCCTCACAGAGCTTTGGCGCGTGGAACAGCCAACACAAATGTGGGCAATCAGGATCCCACAACCTCAGGGCAGTGATGAGCGGTGGGTGTACAGAGTGTGTAAGAGCGCAGAGGTTCGGCTGCTCGTAACTAACTGTCACGGGAGGGGAGATGATCAGCTCCTGGAATGAAGTGTGTTTCCGTGCCGTGGAAGAGCTGAAGAGGGAGTGTGGAGGGTGCGGAGGGTTCTGAGGCAGAGAGAGTTGAATATGCGTGTGGAGGAGAAAGGCATTTGGAATATGGGGAGAGCCTGAGAAACTCGGTGTATATATTGCAGTGTGCCCTGGACATTGCATACACAAGGGTGTGTGCATGTGTGCGTGTATGTACATTTGTGTGCACGCTCATGCACGAGAGCTTGGGGAGGTTGGGGAGTGGGCTGGGGCTGGGTGGCTTCACTTTCAATCAATTGGTAATGGGCAAGGGACTGACCCAAGGCCACACAGCTAGTCAGCTGGGATTCAGACTCAGATTTATCTGGCTCTAAACTCCTGCTCCTTTTTATTTCACCAGACACCTCTCTCGTGAAACAGGGGATTGCATGAGAGATCTCAAGAGAGAAAATTATTCAAGAGAGAGTACACGTTTAGGAGCAAGGCAGAGCTCCATTCAGAGGCAGAAGAGGGACAGACAGCTAACAGTGTTAAATTCTATAGGCGCTTTAGTAGGGTCATTATATTCCATATTAAGGAGATTAGTGGTGAACTTGAAGGGAGTGTTGAGGGTAAGAGACAGTTTCCAGAAAGTTCCAGTGGACATAATCAGAAGTGAGGAAGTGGAGGCACCACCACAGGGAACTCTTACTGATGTTGGGAGCCAAGGAGAGGAAAGAAATCGGGAGGTGGATTGAGAAGCAGAGTTGAGGAAAATTGTTTTTTTTTTTTTCTTTTTACCTTTCTGAGGAATAGGAAACACTTGAGCAAGATATTAGGTGTTGTTTGCAATGGGAGATGAGGGGAGGGAGTTGGCCCGTTGGCCTCTTTTGAGGGAGGACACTGTATAGCGGTCGATCATCACATGGTCACAATATCCCATAGAGAAGGGAGGGACTGCTCACCATGTGACAGATCCCTTGGTGACCTTGGTAAGGTCCCACAGAAGTGAAGGTCACCTTTACCTGGGTGGGCAGCCCAAGCAACATTTTGACCTTGAGAACCTCCAGCATTGAAGGCACACTCTTCACAACTATATTACCAGATCTTGCAAAGTGAGAGCAGTTAGAAGGACGAATACTGGCGGTGTTCAAGTCCCAAACCAAGTGACTTTCCGAGTCAGCCTGTCACGTATTGACGAGGCTCTCACTACAGCAAATATGCTTCATAGCGGTGAGATGCTGGTGGGCCTCAGTGCTGCTGTGCAGGCTGAGGACTGGGAACCAGGATTCCTGAGGGTGCTCTGAGGCCAGGCAGGGGGGCATTAGCATCACAGACCCACCCACCCCCAAATGGCCTGCGGAAGGGCTTCCGCTTTTGCTCAGAATCGGGGTTAAGATGCGAAGCCTGCAAGTGTGGGGCATGGAATGTGGAAGTCCAAGGCTGCTTTGGCTCTGCAAGTAGCCACAACAGCTCAAGTGTGGGCATTAGGCAAGTTCTAAGGCGACCCTGAGCGGCCGGGTGTGCATGGACTCTGTTGGCCATGTCTGTTTCAGGTGTCTTTCCCCGCTGTCTCCAGCCCGCACCCTCAGTTGAGTTTCTGCCACACTAAACCTCACAAGGCTCACTGAAGCCGTGTGGGCTTGCTTATCTCTGAGCTTCGGGTAAATGTCCAACCCCCTTCCCTGCATTCCCTGACCACTGGTGTTGCTGCAGTTTCCTGCCACCCCATCTCTCGAGTGGGGTCACTTGTTCCCTCACCTGCGCTCCCTGAGCACTTAGACAAGAGCTTCTGTAAGAGCCCTTTTGGATGGACTTCTTTCCCCTTCCAGACCACGAGCATCTCAGGACAAGGATGGTGGCTTATTTCTGTCACCCACCCTGGTAACTGGCCCGGGGAGCCCAGAAGGAACCCTCTTGATTGAGGTGAATTTCTCTTTTTTGAAAGAAACTGTTTGCAGTTCTTATGAAACAAAGGCATGGGGCGGGGGTGGGGGGGCGTCTGGGTGGCTCAAGTGGGTTAAGCATCTGACTCTTGGTTTTCGTTCAGGTCCTGATCTCATGGTTTGTGAGTTCGAGCCCTGTATCAGGCTTTGCATTCACAGAGCCTGCTTGAGATTTTCCCTCCCTCCCCGTCTTCTCTCTCTGCCCCTCATCCACTCGTTTTCTCTCTCTCTCAAAATAAATAAACTTAAAAAAAAAAAGGAACATAGGCATGGGTTGTTAGATGAACTCAGTGACCAGACCAGAGTAACCCAAACTCCCCACGGCTCCCCCGGCCCCACGTCACCTACCTTCAGAACGTCTCCGGTGTGAAAGCTCAGCTCATCCTCACCAGAGGCGGTGAAGTCGAACTTGGCAATGGCTTCCATGTTGTGACGGGAAGCTGGAAGAGAAATAATGTGTTCATTGTGCCTTTCTGTCCAGGGAAGGGCAGCAGAGCAGCGGGTACCTAGGAGTAGCAGGTGGCCGGTGCCTGGTCGAAGGTCTCCAGGCCTGAGAGGGAGACCCAGGCACACAGGGAGGGCTTTTGTGAAATTGCTGCGGGAGGGAGTCTGTGGGATCAGTGTCCCAGCACTCCCTGAATCGCCAAACCCCAGGAGCAGGAAATGAAGGCCCGAGACGCCTTTCCCCTTTCATCTCCCTTTGCCTGTCTGGCCTGTCACCATTTCTGGGACATCTCTGTTTCTGGTTGATAAGGATGGAAGACTCACTATCATCTCTAACTTGGGGCCCGAGGGGCTGGAAAGACTGTTCTGTAAACATCATCCTGAGGCTGTCCCTTGGCAGCTATATTTAACCAGGCGGTGTTAATTAGACAGATGCCATTTTCCCTTTTACATCTGAATCATTTAGGAGCATTAGGCAGCATCAGCCTGTGGGGGACTTAGCATCTTTCCACATGGCCTGAGAGTGGAAAGCATTCTGGCTTCAGAGTCAGGGGACTCGATTAGTCAGATTCCTTACTGCATTATTATAGTGTAAGCCAAGTACATTTTGAAAGATACCATTCTAATACCTCTGAATTGAGTTAAAATACCCTCACCCCCAGTAATACCCGAGGCCTGTGTAAAATAAAAAAGTTAGCCTACATATGAAATATAGTTGTGATTATCTTAGGACACAAGGGGGCATGTAATAGAATGAGCAGAGCCCTGGCTTTGTTGGTGAATAGCTGTATGATCTTGTGTAATAACTAAACCTCTTGGAGTCTCAGTTTCCTTATCTGTAAAGTGGGGATCGTAATATTCAACTAACAAGGACGCGAGATTAAATTCAACAATAGACTTGGGGTGCCTGGGTGGCTCAATCGGTTAAGCGTCCGACTTCGGCTCAGGTCATGATCTCACGGCTCATGGGTTTGAGCCCCACATCAGGCTCTGTGCTGACAGCTCAGAGCCTGGAGCCTGCTTTGGCTTCTGTGTCTCCCTCTCTCTCTACCCTTCCCCTGCTTACGCTCTGTGTCTCTCTCTCAAAAGTAAATAACGAGGGAAAAAAATTAAAAAAAATTAAATAACAGACACAAAATGTTATACAAGATAAAACTAAGCAGTCTTTCTGTCTTTAAAATAATCGTATTGGAATGAATTTATCCTCAGCAGAGGGAGCCTGGCCAAAAAGAGCTCAGAAACAGAAAAAACCAGAAGAGTTTTCTTCTGATTTCTCTCATCTCTTTTTTTTTTTTTTTTTTTAAATGTTTTATTTATTTCTAGGAGAGAGAGAGAGAGACAGCATGAGCAGGGGAGGGTCAGAGAGAGAGGGAGTCACAGATTGAAACAGGCTCCAGGCTCTGAGCCGGCAGTCAGCACAGAGCCCGACGCGGGGCTCGAACCCACGAACCGCGAGATCGTGACCTAAGCGAAAGTCGGACGCTTAACCGACTAAGCCACCCAGGCGCCCCATGATTTCTCCCATCTCTTATGAACGATCCTCTTTGAAAATCGGTGCTTATTCTCTAAGACCTGCAAGTCCTTTGGTTCTGTGCCAGGGCAGTTTGCTGTTGGGCCCATCTTGGAAGAAGTTCCTTGGAAGCAAAGGAACTTGCTTGGCATGTTGTTTGGCATTTATGTTTATCAGAACGTACCAAGGTCTCAAACCCTTTACGTCAGTGAACTCACACCTAATGACTTTCGATGACCAGTAAACCAGGACCACAATCACCCTCTCAGTGGGAATTTCCACCCAGTGACAAGACTTAGCCACTAAGGAAGGTGGCTGCCCAGTGGGGAGGGTGTGGCATGCAGAGATCAGGGGATTAATCACACAGTGGTGGCAGCAAATGGCTCATTTCTCTGACTTTCCATGTTTGCTTGGTCTTTTAAGGCAATTCATAGAGATGACAAAAGATAGATATTAAGCAAAAAAATATTTCAGGAGCCCAAGTGAAATGTCATAGTTAACCGTCTGGGCTTTATCACCAGCCAAAATTTATTTCCAAACAACAGCATATATATATATATACACTTTTTGTATCCTTTCTTCAGGCTCTGTCCATCTAAGGCAAATTAAAATGGTGACCTAAGATGGCCCACTCAACAGGAAGGAGTATTCTGCCCTCCTCAGTGAGTGCTAAATGCTTTTGCTGATTTGCTTCACCCCGTGGCTCTAACATGAAAAGCCTCCCCTAATTAAGGCCTTGCTTTGAGTTTGCAGGAAGATGTGGTGTCTGTGGGTCATCCTCATGGTATCGACAGCAGATACTGGTCACCTCAGGAGATCAAGTGTCAGGTGAATGGTCCTGAAATCCAAGATCCCATTTCTATGCAAATTTACCTTAATAAGCAGGATGGAGACAAGAGGAGGGCAAATGGTAAACATATTAGAAAATCACATAAATTAGGGATGCAAAAAATATCCAAGGCATGCTCTAGATATGACCTTGAGCTTGGGAAGATCTTTCCTATGTTGCATGTGACTCGGATCCGGCCTGGGTGCTTGGACCAGGCTGGCCGTGTGTAACTTCAGTGAGAAGGCTGACGCAGAAGTAGTAGTGCTCCTGAGCTCCAGCTTTCTCTCTGCCTTCCCCCAGGAGGCAGGTGGTATGGGGAAGCCAACGACCCACTGGCCCATAGCAGAACTCCCCAGCTTGTAATATTAATCCTGGCTCTGAAAACCCAATTAAACCAGGCCCACTCTTAATGAAATCAGTTTGAAAAAATTTGTTTGCGTCCCATTTCCATTTGTGAAATGAAATCTGTTCAGATGCTGTTTGGTGGGAGGGAGATGTTCAGGGGGGAGTGGGGTGTGTTCTGTTTTCATTCAAATCACGGGGCTTTGCAATTTCTCGCCTTGCATTTACCACTGGGGTGGGGGAGGGCTTGGTCTTCTGTTTGATCGTAAAAATCATAAAAATGCATGGAGATTTATATCCCATTTGTCTCTATCCTTTAGTTTTCCTTTTGAAAACTTTTAAATTACTGCCAAGGAAAAAGAAAGGTGAACTACCATATTTTTGCTCAGTGTTTATCCATTTGTTTTATGGATACAATACATACTGCATCCATTGATGCCAGCCACCTCAGGAATTCAAGAACGCGACAGAGCCTTCTAGCTACTGTGTGCTGCTACAGTGCTTCTGACCTCAGGGGGAGATGAAGAGAGAGACATCTCTTTAAATAACCTCACAGACAGATTAAATGTACGTTTCCTTCCAGTGATCAGCTCTAGAAATGGCTGCAGTGCTACCTGCTAGAGAATATGAACTTGAAGTGACAATTTCCGGGGGCAGTCAAGCCACCTCCAACAGCCTCCCCACCCGCCGCAAGCCCGCTGATGATGCCGTTTGCCCAGGAATCCTGCCTCAGAACTGTGCCCTTAATGCCAGCTCTGCTTCTCACCCTCCCTCTGCGTCTCTCTCACTTTGCCCCTGTATGGATGGCGCTCAATATCCATTAGCAGCCCTGTGACACAGATCTGCTGCGCTGATTGGCAGCACCACAAGGCTTCCCTGTGCGTGTTTTTCTCTGCCCTTGCATTTCCATTTGGGCTTCTTTTACCACCAAAACACCTGACAACCATTCAGGCTTACATACCGGGAATATTTGTCTACTTCTAAGATAGAGTCACCGCAGAGGACGAAAACAAAAGCCACAAGAGGGCTCTTTAAAAGAGCCGCCATGTGAAATCCAGATTAATTGGATGTGTTCAGAAACACGCAGTTGCTGTCAAGATGGTACCAGGCAAGAAACTTCTTGAAAGATTTCAGCTCCTCCTAAGTTGGCTATGAATAGCCAAGGCTTCTGTTTTATGCCTCTCTTAAAAAGAGCAATTGCATAACACCACAAAGCTGTTGGAAGAGTCGGGCTCAGGACCCGAAGAAAGAAGGAGCTGGGTCCTAAATCAAACTGGCGACACTTCCTATTTTGTTGGGGGAGAACTCTAATTTAAATTTTATATGGCTTGTAGTTTAAATTTTATATGAACCTGTAGTTCAGTGAGGCTAATGTGTTTTTTAAAAAGAGAGAAACACTGCTCCTTATAAATACTGTGATTTTTGTTAATTTATATCTTGTGTATGAAACGAAGTGATAGAATAGTGACAAGTTTACATGTGAGGACTTGAACGACAGCTACCAAGAGGAGGTGGGCTAAAAACGTAAAATTCTCCTGGTGGTTTAACTTCACATAAAGCAGAGACTTGGAGCCCACGGACTTTTCTTCCATTTGTCAGGCAAAGCCCCTCTTAAAGACAACGAGCAGGTAAGGTAAGCGCTCACCCTCCCCGCTGAAATGACAAGGTCAGCTCCATTACTTTTCAGCAGTAAGAACCCTTACACTGCCAGGAAATAAAAAAAAAAAAAAGATTATAGCTAAGCCTCACTGTCCACAATAGATACGTTCTCAAAAAGTTATTAGGAATAGAGTATTTGTAAGTGGAATCATATTAGCATGCATTATAGAGGCTCATTCTTTAAAGCAACCCCATGGTGACTCCCTTTACAAAATGAAAAGGAAAATTTGTTATGCAAATAACTGCCTTTTAACTTCTCTGTTTTAAACTCTAGGTTTTCATGTGCTGAGGCTTAAATCGGAGCATACCTGTAGATCCTTCCCCTCTGTGGGTTAAATGTTAGTCTTCCCTCTTCTTAAGTCCCAGAATGCTTTTTAAAAGCCTTTCCTATTGATATATAATATTCCACCCTGGAGTAGGAGTCATCAAACCTTTTCCGGAAGGACCAGAGAGTAAATATTTTGGGCTTTGTGGCCTGTACAGTCTCTGCCACAAGCACTCAGCTGTGCTGTTGTGGCCTGGAAGGCAGCCTAAGGAATGGGCGTAGCTGGGTTCCAATAAAACTTTATTTACGGACACTGAAACTTGAATTTTATATACTTTTTACATGTCACAGAATATTCTTCTGGTTTTTTTCCCCAACCACTTAAAGAATG